TTTTTTTTTTTATTTCACCGTCAGTGGCCCCGTTGAAAAGTCTCCTCCATTTTATTAATTTTCAAAACAAATCCCAAAAGCAAGGATTAGCTGAAAATTGAAAATTAAAGATTTATTTTGTCTTCTCCATCTTCCACGGGCCAAACCGACTTTCCCTTTCCATTTTACTTTGCTTTACCGCCGGCTGCACTCTTCCTTTGCTTGTTTGTTCACCAAATAGCTTCCAAATTTCTACCCATCTTGCAACATCTAAGCTTCTCCCAGTCACAGCCGGTCCCTCTGCTTCAGTTTTTTTTTATGCTTCCCTAGATCTACCCAAAACAGCAACCCACTTCTTCCAACTTCCAGATCTATTGCCGGCTGCACTCTCCCTTTACTTGTTTGTCCAGATCTGCCCGGTGGTCCCCTTGGAGACTCTTCTTGCTTCACAGGTAATTGTTGACTGTTCCTTTCACTTTATTTGCAAAGATTTGCTTTGCTTGTGCCCCATGGACCCTACCGGGAATCCTCCTTGAGTGTGTGACTGCCGGCTAACTCCCTTCTCCCCTTTTTTTTTTGTTTTGTGTGAGTGCAGATCTGCCTGGCTTGGCTCGTGACCGGTGGACCAGTACCGAACAGCCTTCCCTTGCCAAAATCATCTCCATGGCTCATGACCAAGAAGAGCAATCCATGCCCACCGGATCTGCTTCCATGGCCGGTTCAAAGGCCACTCCTTGCTTGAGGTCACCTCCCCCAGATTTAATTAAAATCTTTCAAAACCGAAATCTTCAAGATGATATAAACAGGATACTCCAAAAACAGAAGCCATGCCATTCAAACCAAACTTTTGTTCCTCACAAAAAATCTCAGATTTTGGGCCCTTATTTTGTGTCTCATCCACCGGCTTCTCTTACCTCCTTTTATCCACAGCCCAAAGAACACCTTCTCCCTTTTCAGGTAAAACCTGACTGGAATAAATGGATTGGCTCTTTTGGAGCTTGGCCGGTTTGGAGAAAATCAGAATGGGTGGACTGGATTGATCGTCTGGAACCTGATTTTGGCCAAATTTGGAAAGATGTGGGTTTGTTTGAGTTTATACAACTCACCAAATGTAGATGCAACATGGACAAGTCGGTCTTGGGTGCAGCTTTGTTATTTTGGTCTGGCTCTTTCAATTGTTTTCATTTTCCCTGTGGAGCCATGTCTGTGAGCCTTTTTTATGTCAGTTCATTAACTGGATTGCCCTGTACTGGAGAAGAGATTACTGCATTGCTAACCTTGCCTCCAGGTGTTGAGTACAACGTAGAATTAAAGCCTCTTATCCAGCCTTTGTGAGGTTTGCTTATGATAAAAGTAAGCCTGTCGGTGCTGATGAGCATATTTCCTTTCTGCTTACTTTGATTTGTAAATATATAGTCTGCTTTGTTGGTAAAGGTCCCACTAAAGAGTTTATTCCCTTAGCTGCTGCTTTAGCACATGGTAAACAAATGGCTCTGGGTCCTTTTTTGCTTGCTCATTTATACAAGAGTTGCCAAGATATCACGGCTCACCCCTTAGTCATTAGTGGTGGGCCACTTTGGGTTTTGCAGCTGTGGTTGTATTCTTATTTTCCATCCCTAGCTCCTGTCTCACCCGCTGTTCCAGCTCGGGATTTACTCACTTACGGCTTCATGTTCAAGAATGCCGTGGAGAACGAGAGGAGCTTCGAGGAGTGCCTCAAGTTTTTTGCTTCTTTGTCTGTTGAGCGACCCGATGCAGACTTTGCAGTGTTTCTTGGCAGATCTCACGGTCCTTCATGGTACAAGGTCGATGTCCAATCCCCAGATTTCAAAGCATTTTGGTCTGTTTGTGTGACCTCCCGAGATTTGTTTGTTGGCTGTAGTTTGAACACTCTCAACTTCAGATGTGGCATGGAGCTTTATGCACCAAACCAATTCTGTTGACAGTTAGGGTACTGCCAAGACATACCATTCCCACCACTATTTTCCTTCAACTACAGCTATCTCCTTCGGTTTATGATTGGGGATTCAAAGATTTTGGTTACCAAACTTGCTGACATCACCAAAACTCTGCAGACACTGATCCTACCAGACCCACCATTCAGATCAAGTTGCACTTCTGCTTACAAAAATTGGTGGCGAGACTACTTTCATCCTCGATTTCTTGATGTTATGGAGAATATTTCTGTTTTGGCTCCTCCACAACTCACCAAAAAATCTGAAGGGAAGAAAGTAGTAAAAGAGAATGAGGACCTGGAATCTACCATGGCCGCCCAAATCAGCTAGCCAGATCTGCCAAGGAGAGCTCCCAAACTTCAAGTCAAAAGGAAATGTGCTACTCCTGCAGATTCCACGGAAGAAGATACCCCCTCCAAGCAGCGAAGAACCGGAGGTAAATCCGCTTTGGCTTGCAACTTTGTGACATGTTTTCTGCTAACACTTACTTTTTTTTCTTTTAGAGATCAAGAGGTCAGCAGTAAAACCATCTGCAGCCAAGAAACTTATCAAATCTGCCTCTCCCTCGAGGTCCTCTTCTGCCACGGAGACTGAGACGCAACCTGACAAAACAAAAGATGTTTCCCTCGGTCTTGCTGCCACAAAAGCCCCTGTTGAAGACATATCTGTTGAGGGTGATGAAAGCAATTCTGGCTCCTCTCACACCAAATCTGGCGATGGCTCTTCACCCGTCACAAAGGTTAGGGGTTCTAGATTCTCTTCACGCATAGCAAGTAAAAGCTTTAGAACAGTTAGACCGAATGAACTCATCGATCTAAACCCAGACAAAGAGAATACCCCTACACCCGTAGCCTCTCCTGCTAGGCATGTTCAT